ATTATTGTAACAGCTGTGTATATTAACTATTTCAAGTTAATAAATTAGATGTACTTAAGACTTAAAACCTTTTAAAATATGAATAGCAAACACAGAATGGCATATATTCAGAGTATGTGGCATGTAAAAACACACAATGGGAGACAACAAAATGCTTCAGAGCTCTCTTAAAATAGCTGGAAGCAGCGCAGGAAGTGAAATATGATGTAATGCTCATTCCATGGACACTCACAGGAGCTGACATGAGTCAATTCTGTTCACGCTGTCTTCTTTCTCCCTTAAGCCCCAGTGGCACTTGGTAATGAAATAGTCAGGATTTCATCCTGTTGCTGGTGACTGAACTAGCTTTGCATGCCTGCTTTCAAAACCATTTCAATGGGATATACTAAATACATCATTACTTCAATTCATTGGATCTGAATTTGTGGCTGGAGTGCAGCACGTGCAGCTCATTTCCCTTGATTTGCTCATCCCCCTTTTCCCATGCCAAGAAATAAGTGTTGCCAGCTGGGTTTTACAGGTGCAGCCCTTTGAGTTTGTGTGAATCGCTGCTGTGATTGGAAGAAGACAGGTATAAGCACTGCAGGAGATGGCTTAGGGAGGCAAGTCAGCATATGTAGGAGTAGTGACTTGCAGAAAAGGCTTATTTTTAGAAACCTCATCCCTCACATAATTGTTTTCCTTGTTTTATACTACGAATAATAATTTGAAACCATGCCCTGAAATGATACTCCAGCCCAGGCAGTTGCAGATCTCAGGTATTTCCTAGGATAGATGTATCTTCCTTTTCCTTTTCACAACTAGCTATTTTTCTCATGTATTTTATTTAATGATACTAAACACACACACACACTATCTTAATAGAATCTAGGATACCCTTTCTGATAAGTTATCCTTCCTCTTAAAACATAGCAACGTATGTTTTTCTGCATTGGGATATTCACTAATGAGAAAGATCCGTGAAATTGTTTTCTGGGTGGTTGTAGGTTTTTCGGGCTGTATGGCCATGTTCTAGAAACATTCTCTCCTGAAGTTTTCATTAGAAATTGTTTTCTAATGAAATATGGCCTTTTTGGGCTGGTAGAAAAACAAAGGTACTTCTGAAATAGTGCGACTATTTAAAAGAAGTGAGCATTTTAGAAAACCAGGGTCTTTGCTTCTGGGAACACATTTCTAATGAAATATTTAATGCATGATCTAATTCAACCATAGTTAGACATTACAAGAGCAAATGTAGTCTGGTCCTAGGCATGTATGTTGCCTTTATGGGGAGTTCAGAAACTTTTGCTTCTCATTTAGTTTAACCACATATTGGCTTGCTGTGTTGTTTCAACATACATGGACTTTGATTAACCTTACTCTTTAGGAAGAAGGAAATGCTAAATTATTTCTGCTAGTGCTAACCATAGTGATGCTTAACCACAGTCACACATCAGAAGACACATGAAACCATAGTTAATCTAAATGGAAGCAAAAGCTTGTGTTCCCTTTGTTTCTGAATTGAAAGAGGAGAGGAAAGGATGGAGTGTGGTATTCCAGAGAGGTGGATTTACTACTGTAAGACAGTGCTGAAGAATCACTTTTTGCGAGCTAGTTCAAACCTGCAAGTCTCAATTTGCCATCAATGATGACAAGATTATATTGCAGAAGTCATCATCTCTGCATGTATGTGTTTGTTTATTGTTTAATTTATATGTTGTCTATTTTCTGGTACGGGACCCCCAAGGTGGTTGACATAAAATTCCAAACAAGTGCAGATAAAACCTATTTGAAACAAAAGTTAAAAGACCATTAAATAAAAAAGGATTGAATTGCCTCCAAAGATATTAAATCAATCAGGAAAAACAATCTGGCATTTACTTTTATCATTTTTGTTGCTGTTGCAACAGTGTCCATAGAACTCTACAGAACTCTTGTCAATGTCAGCAAAAACACCTGTGTAACTTAAGAGGGGTGTGGGATTAACCTTTCCGTTACCCCCTTCAAGTGAGGTCAACATCTTTGCTAACATTTGTAAAGGCACCAAGTGAATGCCAAGACCTCTTTAGAGCTCCATGGCTTCTGCTGTAGTGACAAGCAACAACAAAGATAAGGTTGATTGTTCAGCAAGGATGAACTGGTTCAGTCCATTTGGACAATCAGGACCTCACTCCCACTGTTGACACAGTTTGGGCACAAAGTAGTGTGAACACTGTGATAAAATCTGGTGGTGGCTGGTGTGCTGTCGCACGCTGGCCCTGTGCATATGACTGTAGACAGGACATAAATTCCGTGTGCCCAACAGGACGCCGGGGCTGCCTCAGATTAAAGGCCCTTGGACCTCCCCACAAACAAAGTTCTGTAGAGGCTTAAAGTAAGTCCAACAAAGTTCTTTATTGATGAAAAACAAACAGGTACTTTAAAGCTTTCTTAACAGTCTATAGGCTCTTGCAATCTTGTTCACTGGGAACAGGCACTATCTTCATAACTGTATACTAACTAATGGGGAAATCCTTAACTTCTAATCAGGGCAGTCTGTACTTGCCTCTGTTGGCGTGGAGCCCCTGCACCCGGTACCAACTGCTTCTGGCTTCCGCGAGAGACCCTTACCAAACAGAACTTTGTAGACTTCCAGGGAAAAAGGAGTTCACGTTTCGGTGATGACTGGCTGAAGTCCCTCAACAAAGGAGCTGTAAGGCTGACAAATCCACAGCCAAGCTGTGGGGCCTTTTCTCCCTGGCCAAGCTGTAGATTGTATATCTCCCCGGCCAAGCCGTAGAAGACGAAACTTTCTACAGGAGCTCTTCATTTTATGTCCTGTGCGAAAGGCTTCTCTGTGAGAACTGACTCAAAAAGGCTCCTATTCCCTCCAAAACTCAAAAAGGGGTGGGACCAGGGAACCTAACTATAATTGACAGGTGGCTTGCCCTATGATTGCAAACTATAACAGGAAGCCACCCTGCTGCAAAATCCCAAGCCTGGGATTGCAAACAGACATTTAATTCAAAGCAAATAAAATTGGAGCTCCTGGAACAGCTGTTCCAGAACAGCTGGTATCAGCAATGCTTCATACCAGCCACAGGTTTTGTGGCCCATGTAGATGGGCCCCTAGTCATGTACAGCTGTAAAGCTAGCATTTCAAATTGTGCACAGAAAACCTGAGAGGCAAGTCCAAGAAGAAATGATTGACATCAAAGAAAGACAATCTATCCATCCTCTTCCATAATGTTGCGTGAAAGCATTTTGCACATACAACAAACTATACGTCGGATTGAGAAGAGTGTAGGTCATATGCTTTGTGCAGTCCCATGACCAATGGGCATTTTTCTATCCTCATGGTACTCCTAACACTCAACAAAAATTACTAAAAATGTTTCTCATTCTCCCACCAGTAGACTTTCCTATTTATTTCCAAGGTGGAAAAAAGTGTTCTCCTTGGCCTAAAACCTTAGAGGAATACTCAATACATGGCAATTTTCTCCCATGGCTCCTAAGGGGACTCCGGGGGGTTGTTTGTGATTTTTAGGCATGGAGGGGATGGGGTTGTGGTGGAGGCTGGCCAATCAAGATCCCATGGGAGACCAGAGCACCCCTAACTCCCAGATGTTTGTCAACCTGGCTGTAAGGACTATTCTTTTGTAATATAATTAAGCTTTCAGGCCGCAACCAGCCTCATGAAACTCCCGTTAAAACATACATTCTGACTATATTATCCAATATTTTAGAATAATATAATGTATAACCTTCACAATAATTATTAACCAATAAAGGAGAGAGAAATGATTTACATTATGGAAGACAGGCCTAAAAATCCGATTAGTTTCATAACACCATGCAAAACATATTCATTTATTTATGCACTGGGAGAGAGACATATGTAGCTCATCATTATTATTGTGAACTAGATTATAGTCCTCCTGTTTGCCTTTAATTCGAAATCTTTAACGTTTCAACAATCAGAGCATATATTATTAGTTCATTAGTGCCATGTGCTCCAGATCTTTAGACTCTATGAGTCCTGAATGGAGTTCAATTACTTAGATTCATTTGAAGATCCGTTCTTTACAAGTGGTAGAAATATTTCATTTGAAATTGAGAGTGAGTTTTAATATAATGTTTGTGCTACAATGATGTGATTAGAGGGTTTGTTGCTGAAAAATATCTCCTATCTAATTTCAAAAGCGATGTTTGTTTTCAGAACTGGCAATTGAATAAGGACAGTGGGTTTAACCTACTGTTTTAATAGCAGTGAGTTGCGATATTGGTGTTAAATACTGTTTCAGGAACATACTTGCCTTTTGCCTTCAATATAGAGCAATGTCCTGCTGGGAATGTAGGACAGTACTGAAATTCTTGGATCTAAATTACATAATTAGTCCAAACAAAATCAATAATAATAATAATAATAATCTTTATTTGTATCTTGCCCTCTCTCCCAAAAGGGACTTGGGGTAGTTTACAACAAAAATATAATATACATAGTAATAATAACACCCAAAACAACAACAAAATCAATGCATTGAGTAACCAAACAGGGCTGCATCTCCACTGTTGAATTGATGTAGTTTGACACCACTTTAAGTGCCATCTTTATATGCACCCCGGATTACCACTGACTTGGATAGTCTACTCTACTTTGAAATAATCCCTAGATTATGACTCTGAGTTTTGTAAATTATTTTTTGGAGGGGAATATTTCTTTTATCACTCTGCCTTAATGAAAAAATCATGATTGATAATACTAAACACAAGCTTTTAAAACTTTTATCTTAGTAGAAAGGTCCTTTTAGAATTCAAGCTTTAATTTATTCTTCAAGGCCTCCACAGTTTTCAGAATTGTATTTTCAGTTTGTTCAGTGGTGTGTTGCCATTGTTTCTCTTGCTGCACATTTGTTACCATTGTTTCTCTTGCTGCCCATTGTTACCATTAGCAGAAAAAACTGACTAAAACCATAAGATATAGAACTAGTATTGGTGAATTTAAGTTAAAAGATTTAAAACAAGACGAATTTATTTTGTAGGGTGAAGAAGGAGCTAAAGGAGAAAATGGCATCCCTGGTATTCCGGCAGAAAAGGTAAGCTGCTTGTTCTTGCTGTTTCTAACTCAGTGGATTTCATGTAGCTACAAGCATGATAAAATTAATTGATTCCTTGTGTTATTAAAAACTGAAATGTAACAGAAAATTATTTATTATTTATTTACGGTATTTCTATCCTGCCTTTCTCAGTCCAAAGGCGAATCAAGGCGACTTAGAGAACTATACACTGTTGACATTGAGAGCGGCACATTTTCAGGGTGTAACAATCTTATCATACGTGGCAAATTTCGACAGCAACTCTAGTTTGTAACTTGTGATTTCACTCTGACTAACTGACTTTTTTGTAAATGGTATGAATTGTATTTTAATGTATTTTATATTGATGATGTATATTTGCTTTATCTTATTGTACTGAATCCTCTGTTGTTAGCCGGCCTGAGTCCCTCTCCGAAGGTTGAGAAGACTGGGTTATAAAAACTCTAAATAAATAAATAGTTGTGCCACAGTTTTGCTATGGAGCCTGCCAGCTCCCACTACATATGGGAGAAGTAGTTCTGGGGTGGTTCCAGGGCAAAACTGTGACAGAACCAGAGTCACTGCCGGAAAAAAAAGCGGCCACTAGCAACACAGGAAGCTTCCCGTGTTGCATTGCCCTCAATGGGGCAAGCCAGCTGGCAGACACTTCCTTCCATGTATTGAGGGAGGGAGGAAGCCAGAACAGTGTGAGGTGCAGAGCGATCAGTTCCCACACCTCCTGGGCAGAAGCTGGCAGGATTGCCTGGACCCCGGCGGCGTGTGTGACAAGGTAGTATATCATCCAGCTCTGATCCTCATTCCAATTGCGAAATGAAAGTTCTCAATTAGAGACCAATAATTGTTCAATCTCGTCATTTTGTAAGGAATTAACAGTTTTCCTTCATTTGGATTTACACACCAGGCCTTTTCCCCTGATATAATGATGCACCCTAAGACCCAGTAGAGGCATGAGCTATGAAAAACATGTATCTCTATATAAACAACACAAGCGATAGTGTCCTCAGTTTCATGGTACATAAAGTGGAAGGGGAGGAGTATTATCCAAATAGACCCACAATTGAATTAGGTATTTTAAGGGCTTTTTTCCACGGGAAAGGCTGTTTCACAGTTTTGCACAATTGATACTAATATGCTCCCAAGGCTCGGTACAAAATAGCTCAGCTGTTTTCTTTGTGAGAAGATGGTTGTGGTATCCTGTTAGGCTGAGAGCACTTGTGATATGAAGGTATTGAATTATATAACCCTAAACCCTTTTTTCACCCATTTTTAAGCCATGATATTGAAACAATTTTGCACAGTATATTGCCATTAAAGGGCACTTTGCATAAAAATACAGTTTTGGATAGTATCTAGTATAACCAATAAAATATAAGGTGCAGTTATTTCATTGTTCCTACCTTAATGGGTGTTTTGCCATGAAATAAGCTAGAAGAAATATAAGAGGTTTACATCTCAAAGTTAATGATTCTGAATAAGACAGTAAACTATAAGAGTAAAACTCTTGGAAACAATCTTTCTAGGGAATATGTTGCAATTTCTGGGCTTTGTTCAATGTACAGGCATGCCCCCAGTTATTAGTAAGATAGGTTCTGTAGGCTTGTTCTTAAGTTGAATTTATTTGTAAGTCAGAACAGGTACTTTTTAAAGTGTAACTCCAGCAAAATACAGATATATATTAGCTTTGAATAGCAGAGCAAAGGGTTAACACGCCTGTGGAGTTTGTTTTGCTGTCTGTGCCCCTGTTCAGGAGATTTCACCTCTTTCAGTCCCTTTGAAAATTGGATTTTGAAAAATTTGGATTGTTGTGGAAATGTGGATTTATGATAAAGTTTCAGTGGATACACCTTTTTCCCCTGAAAACTCTTTCAAGAGTGATTTTTGTTACGCAGAATCAATTTGTTGCGCAGTAGCAATGTCCAACATGTCCAAAACCCAATGCCAAAGACACAGACCAGTCAGAAGAAATAAAACAGTAGAACTTTACTCTTGGTTGTAGAGTTTGAAAATAAAACAGCTTGGCACACTTACATAGTCTCTGTAAGTAATACAGAATAAATCTTCTGTGTTATAAATCATAGAGCATAACAAAAGTACATGGTTACTTCACCATAACATGAGCTTCTTGCATCTGCTCTCCAGCAAATCAAACAGCCAACTGCTAACAGGCTGCAAAAGCCTCAGAAAACTGTTACATTCAAGAGGTGTGGCCCAGCCTTGCTGAGCTGAGCTAGCTTTTGCAGCTGCAGTTAATTATTAACACTTTGCAAGGCTTTTCTGCAAGGTTTCCTTTAACACACACACACACACTGGACTTACAACAATATACCGTAATAATTTTTCCTTATGAGAGGTAGATTTCTCTCACTTCCTGTTGTCTCACTCCTGTTCTTAAATTTAAGTCATTTGTAAGTCCGATGTTTGTAACTTGGGGACTGTCTGTATGTACATACGAGGTGGTGGCAGCAAGGGAATCCCCTATTTCAAAATCTCTATGCACTTCTTCTGAAAGTGCTACTGTGGCTTCTCTCGAAAGGAAGGGAAGAAGAAGGTGAGGGTATTGAATGTCTTAGCAGTTGTTACCAGATAGAGATTTGAACATTTACACATTTTCTCATATGTGAAAAGTAGGGTTACCGGGGGGGGGGGGGAATAAGGAACATGGTTAACATACCTTTAATACTTATGTAAAAGAGCCCATTTCCCAGTTCCCACAAGTATTAAAGGTACATCTCCAAAGGAACCCTGTGTACATTGACCACTTAGGTCGGTGTGACAACCAATCAGCCCAGCTGTGACTAAATGCCACACGAGGATTCATCCAGATTAATCCAGATGAAAATCTGAATCCTGAGGCTGTCAGGATAGCTGGGCTGGCTCCTAAATGGAACTGGCCACTGCTCCCTGACCACCATCCCATGCCCCCTGGGCTTAGACAGTCTGAGAAAGCAGGATGGTTGTCCCTCTCCTCCCTTTGTGTTGCAATAGCCACAACACCCCACTTACCTGTTCAAGGGTAGTGTGAAGAAGAATATTTGGTTGAAGGAGCTGGGAGAAGCGATCTTAAAAATTCAACTGTGAAAATACAAATTTTGTAACAACTTGGCCCTGTATTGACCACAGTCTAGGGACTTGTTCTGTCTTTTCTAATCAATTTAATTTTTATTTGATTAATTACATAGGTGATCCTAGAACAGGTTTGAGGCTTGGATGGTGACTACACAAACTGCAAAACACTGATGCACATTAAGGGCATTCTTTCACATGCTTTTCTGAGCATTTGTTGTCTAGCCACAGTTTGAAGTTAACTTTGAACGGCATTAAACAGTCAATGTATCTGGGACCAATGTTAATATGAGGATGAAAGGAATATATTAAAATATTCAAGAACTGGTTGAAAAGCATTCCTTTTTTTTTTTTAGTGTGAGGCAACCCTGACAAGGATAATCCTGGAATGATCATTGATAAGCTTTGTAGTTTGGGACTTTTTTGTGCACAGAATCCACACATAGCTGTCTTGCAAAACAAAAACAAAAAAATCACATTTTTGTGAAAATAGCTGCTTTTTCTGAAAATAAAATAACATTTCTCAGGTTTTTAAAGGCTTCCTTAGAGCAGGGGGAAATTGTTTAAATTACCCATTGCTATCTTTTAAGATGAAAGTTAAACAGATGTCATATATCGGTGCTGTGCAATAGCTCTTTGATATAGTTTTTAAAATAAGGTTCCTTCACAGCTGCCCTAAATTAGATCTGTAATACTTATAACCAATCAAGGATGTCATTGCATTTTTCAAATCTGTTCTTTACTTGATGAATGAAATCCATGTTAAAGTTTGTCAAATACCTTGAATTCAAAGCAAGCTTATGACCTAAATACTCTACCAGCACCACACTTATATATTGTGTATCAGTGAAATATGCCATTATTTAAATATTCAGAATATTTTAACCCTAACTATGACAGTTGGTTTTGAAAAAGATCAAATTGCCCTATATAAATAAGGATGTGATGCATTGGGGATTATTTTAAATTATACTATGGTTATTTCTTTATAATTCTGCAATCAGTCGTCTTTTAAGGTTGTTTTGTCACTCAATAACAGATAAACCAGATTGCATATAATATTTTTCAGGGAGAATCTGGTCTGATTGGTGCCCCTGGTGTTCCTGGTATTTCTGGTGAGAAGGTAGAACCAATTTATGTAATTCATATGAATGAAGTATATTATTTCTCTTTTCCCGCAGGATTTTGTAGAACCTAGACTAGAGTGTTGCATTTGTTTACAAAAACACAATTCCTTTTTAGCTACTAAATTCACAAGAGAGTCTTGTGAATGTCCCACCTTTTTGCTTGACTTTGAAGGATTATTTTTGTGACAATATGAGAAGTAAATATTCTGTTGAAAACATGGGTTCTTTTTCTGACTTTGAGCTATAAAGCAATATCATTCTCACCTCTGAACATCATAGGAACACATAGTGTGTACTGAAGCTGATCAAATATGTCTTAATCAATCAATCATAATAATCTTTATTGCTTTTAGAAAAATAGGAACATCGATAGAAAATAGATACATCGTTTACACAGATATATAAAGTCCACATTCCGGGGGAAAGGGGGGTGGGAAGGGGCGACAGAGGATGGGGGAGGGAAGGAGGGAGAGGGTGACACGCACAACGAACACACAAAACAGAAGCCCACTGTCACAAATATGTCTTGTCTATATAGAATATCATATTCATTTATGTATTTCCCACCCTCTTCCCTGCCCCCCCTCCCCAATTCTCTGGAAAATTGGTGTGATCGCTGGTGAGAATATTTTATGTTGCTCTTTTAGTGTACGGAAATTATTTACAGTACTGTTTTTGTTGTTTTGTTTGTTTTTTATGTGCTATTTTATCTTTTTCTCTTGTTTTACAATTCAGATCATTATAAATTGTATTATTGGCATAACCTATCTAAAGTTTCATAACATACTCAAAGGCATCAGACAGAAATAATAGTTTACTATGACAATGAGACTGTGGGTGCCTCCAAATGTTATTTTTTTACGATTGCAACCTTTCTGTCATATTCATAAAATTTTAATGAGGGGAGAGATGCCTGGCTGTCATCAGCTTCCCTTGGTTACTATGGAAGAAAGATTACACACTTCCATAAAACTATATTTTTTGATTGGTGGCCTGTCTGGAATCATGTTACATACACAAAAATATTAATATTTTTCATTTATTCACTCTTTCATTTTCAATCTTCCTTCATAAACAAGATTCAAGGCAGTTTGCAGAAATTTTGAAGACAGGACTACAATTTTCAAAATCATTCATACAATTTAAAAATATGTATAGTTAAAACAATAGATTTAAAGCAATTTAATATACAACAGTTAAAAAGTTAAAATATTAAAAGATAAAGCCACAAGTCTATTCAACTCTTTTTGCCACTTAAATCATTACCCAAGGGCCAAATGTTCCTGAGGTAAGGCTGGGACTGAAAGAAGGCATTCCCTCAAAAATTAATACTTTGAAAGGGGAATATAGTCTTTCAGATATTGTAGATCCAAGATGTATAAAGATCTTAACCAGCACTCTGAATTGTTTCTACAAGCATCCTAGGAGGAGTAAAGCTCCTTCAATGATTTGGGGGGGGGGGGTCATAAACAAGCCCTAGTCATCATACTCATTGTAACATTTTGGACCCAAACAGTCTCCAAAAGAGCCCCACATAGAACATGTCACAGTAATGAAACCGGGATATAATCAGACATGTTACTGTGGCCAGATCTGACATCTCAAAAACAGGTGCTCTTAGGACTGTGGTTATAACAAGCCAGTGCTGAAACCTGGACACTATTGAAAGAAACATGAGCATCTGGGCTCATATTGGACTTTGGAAGGACATCCATCAGGTGAACCTGAGATTTCAGGGGAATTGTAATCCTATTTAGCACAGGCTGAGACACTATTATTTATTATTTATTTGTGGTATTTTTATACCGCCCTTCTCAACTCCAAAGGAGACTCAGGGTGGGTCACAATATTGGCAAAAATTCAATGCCATGGATAAAAACAGTAGAAAACATCAAAATTGACCCTCCCCTGATAAATCATTAAACATTATTAAACACATCACATAAAATAACTATTCACCCATTTGCCTTCTGACTTCTGGATTAAGCTGCAATATATTTATTGTAATTTACTCCATTACTGGCAACAAACATTGGATTAGCACCAAAACAGATGCCTTGGCGTTAGGTAGGAAAGAGAGAGAGAGTTGGGTATCAATGGCATACTAGTAACATCCAATTCTAACATTCTTGATAGCTTCCTGGCACAATGATCCATCTTTCCATTCTCCCCATGTAACTCTTTTTTGCTGTTTCATTTATCAGCAGCCAAGATATTCTAAAAGAGCACAACATTTTTTAAACTCTTCTTGATCCCCCAGTGACCCTATGTTGGCCCTTATCCTACTCTCGATTGATTCCCCACAAAAGGGTAAGCTCCTTTGGTAGCACCCACTTCTGTGACCTCAGGTGGCCAGCTTTTAACACCTTGCAAAAATGTGTTAGGTGGAGCTGGAATAGTACTAGGTGACTTCATCCTGTACAGAACAGATGCCATGCAGAAGGAGATGTAGAAACAGGTAGACGAGCGGTAAATAGGTAGGAGCAAGGTTTCTCTCCTCTCGAAGGGCTGGTACTGGTGGCAATACTGATTCCCCCACACATTTTAACAGCTAGTAAACTGGCTGGGATTTCTGGGAGTTGTAGGCCAAAACACCTAGGGACCCCCAGGTTGAGAACCACTGGTTTACACCATATTTATTCAAGAAAACTACAAATACAGTAGTATAATTGTCATGTCTATGTTTTCAGCTTTCTTTGCCTAGGGTATATGTGTTATTTTCTGTGTGTGTCTGTTGCTCGGATAAGACATTTTGCTTTGATCCTATTTTTCCCTGAACTGTCAATGAAACATAATTTTACAGAAAATACAGCTTGGGTGGTGACTTTGAGTGCCCATCTTCAAACACAAAAGCAATAAAACTCCTGCTTCATGACTACTCTATTGCTAATAAAAAGTCTGCTGCTAGAAATAGCCCTGAGTGTTTTATCTACCATGAATACTACAGCGGTGATCTTCACTATTAAGTCAAGTTGGTCCTGTTTGGTATTCATGTGATTGTTGAGAACATAACAGACCAGAATATTTGAAATGAATTATTGAAGATTTTCAGCACCCCAAATTACTTTAATAGGGCATAAGGCGGTACAGTCTGTTCTCTCAAATATATGTTCTTATAAGAAGGTATTAATGGAAATGTCAATCTAGATAGTGAAATACAAGGGTAGTTCAAGCTAAATAGCTATAGCTTCCGATTCTCAAATGGCTATTTTCTTCAAAATAGCAAATTTCTAACAAAATTTCCATAGATGCATTTATTTTGCTGCTCCATTTTTTAAAAAAGGAAGACATGTGGGAATTTCAGTATTGTCATTTGTAAAATGGACTAAAGCAATAATAAAAACCAGAATCCTATAGGGGCACAATTGCCATGTCGCAAACTATTATATGAGTAGTTCTCTCTCCATACTATTCACACAGCAGTAGTATGGAGAGAGAAGGGAGGCAGTCATAGTGAAAGGAACCTCAAATTGCTGGCTTTTCAGAGATGGAGGAAGGATCTGTGGAGCCAGTACAATATGGGAAGGTTGGCTTGTAAAACCACCAGGTCTCCAATGCACTCTCCCATACTGCACCCTCTTTCACCAGACCAAATGTTTGAGAGACACATGACAGGACAGCCTCCTTCTCCCATTACTGCACCTACATTTTCATGCTTTCCCTTCCTGCCTCTGCTACCCGTGTTATATTCTGCCACCATCATTACATTCACTTCTGCTACTTCCTTAACTATACTAGTAGAACCCATGGGATTTAGATCAGAATCCCTATGAGTCCCTTTTTGTGTGTGTGTACTCGGATGCCCCACCATATGGATAACACTGCCCAACATACATTTAGTGCCTCAAATATTAGATCTGTTTCTGGATATATGTGAACTCCCGATTCCCAAAATGACACTACTTCCCCTTATCAGCTCTAGTTTTTTGAGATACAGAACATATGCCATATCCTAGTCACCATCTGCTCGCTCTTAAAAAATCATAACTCCCTCTAAGAAACTAAAGTTGATGCAATCTGTCCAATGTAATTTTCTGAATCAGTGCTCCAAATAACCCCAGGAACAGACCTAAACACCAAAACTCTGCAAGTGAATTCCTGAGTCCCCTATACAAAGATAAAGGGAAACAAATCTAAACAATATGGTTCTTGTTTTAAATGTCTATGTGATCAGTGAATTCTTGCATTTCTCCATGATACAGGGTGAACATGGCTTGAAAGGTGACAAAGGCGATGTGGGTGAACAGGTAAACAACACATTTGGATACTAGTTTTGTTTGATGTAGGTCTGCCCCTATATCTCGGGGTCTAATCCCAGTTTATCTGGCAGTGGAGACTCATATAATCCAGTTTAACCAGATAATCTGGGATCAGATCCTGGGATATAGGGCAGTGTAGAAGGAGCCTAATTCTTAACCTGGTAATTTCCAGTTTCAATAGAGATCTAGTGTTATTCCATTTATAATACTGCTTTTTGCAAGGATAGTAAAATTTTATGGTAAGACACATTGGTGTTTCATCTAGAAATAAAAAGGCTCTTTCAGAAATGCTAAAATTGTTGTTTTAATTGGATTAATGTGTAGTGATCATATTTCATGTTAAGCCTAGTCTAGAAAAATAATTGTTAAAAGCTTGCTGATAGTAACTTGCTGTATATTTACACAGTCCTCTTGGCTAGCCCTCCTTAAATGTCTGGCTGATATTTTGAGGACTGAGGCCAGCTGCCAGATGGGATATCAAGTTGGAAAGGGTAACATCATATTCAGAAGCTTTAATTTGTGGTCATTACTGGAATTTAATTTAATGTTTGAATTGATTACATTCTATGTCGTTCAAGTGGCTAATATTGTATCCATATTCTACCACCATTTTAAACTCACAAAAATCCTGCAAAGTATCTGAAGGACAACAACAGTGACTAGAACAGGATCACAACCTGAGCTTCATGACTGAGTTCAGGTCTCCCTAACTGTTAAATCTTAACATTTGAATCATTTGAATCATCATAGCAATGTGATATATTAGAAGCTAGCAGTATTCACAAAATAAGCAAAGCAATATACCGATTATACTGAGTGCATAGTTAGATAAAGAAATATTGTGGGCTGGTCTGGTTTACAAGCCCATCCTTACTGTTATATCAATGTAAGCCAAAATAGTTGTGTAATTTTACTGCTGGAATTATTAGTTGAGTGAGGGGGCATCGCGATAGGTTTGACAAACTCACATGCTATCCAGAATTAGCTTGAAAAGGGAATTCCAAAGTGGAACAAATCATGGTGGCCACCTTATATTAGTATGACCACGGCTGCTAAGCTGTGGTCAGTGGATTCCAAGCATACCAGGAGCCCCTTATGTTCATACAAGACAACTGAATTGAGTAGCTGAACTGGGCCTCCGTAGGTGACTGGCCAAATTATTATAGTAGTATATTGGATAAATAGTTCTCATGTCTGAGAATGAAATAAATGAAGAATGCCATTCTGTGGCAGCCTGATGTATACTGTCTCTTTAGTGATGTTTCTTTTGAGATGAGTCAATTCAATACCTCAAGGCATAGCCACCAATTTTTATATATAGCAGTCTGCTTCTTTAAAAAAAATAATCAGCAGTAGATCTGAGGGGAATAGCTGAGGATGTATTTCTTCAAAGAGCTTGGACTAAAGTTTCTGTGCAGCTTTTGCCTGTGCTTGTGTTTCATCAATAGCAGACATCCACAGTCCATCAGAAGATGAATTTATATCATCTTAGCTTTCTAAAGCAACTTGAAATCAAACCACAGCAATTGTTTTAGATTTCATAAGTATGTCTGACTAATAAACCTCTTTAAAATGACTGCTTTTCTATCTATATAACATGCTGTACAATAAGATTAGGTAATGTGTAATCATGTAGGAATATAATTGACATATCAGGAGAAGGAAACTAAAAACTGACATCTATTATTAACTGAATAGCTGAGAGTTGAGTAAAACACCCTGGGCGGTCTGTAAAATATGTTTTCATATATATTGAGGGTATGAACCTTTTAATGATTTTAAGTAGCTCCTTGGCAGCTGTGCCAAAGCATCTGTGTGCTTTACAATTGCATTTTATTTGGACATCAGGTCACGACTTCAGCTGTTTCTGCCACTCGGCTTGAACTATTTGTCTTTGGTTTTTCTTCAGAATGAGCTAAGCTTTGAAAAAGGGACCGCCACTCATTTGGAAATTTTATGTTGTTGATCTTGATCCCCAGAATGACGTTCATGTTTGTTCCCTCAAAATGTTATAAAAATTATATGTTAAGATAATTATAATCCTCTGGATCTTATCTTTTGGAATAAATAGATTATTGTAATGACTTGTAAAAGTGAAAGTCAATCAAAGTAAAGTGATCAGCGCTCAGCACTGAAGATATTAAAATAATAAATGGAGTCATGAACATTAACTTCTTAAGAGCAGTCCTGGCTATCAGTGCTCAGCACCTCCTAACCATATTTCTTGGTGGATTTTGTTTGTTGTAGACATCCTAAGATGGATCTGTTATGAGGTACTCTTGGCTAAATTTCTTCATAAAAAGTTTGTCATTGCCTTTCTCTGCAGCTGAGAAAGTGTAATTCGTCCCAGGTCATCCGTGACTCTGTATGGCCAAGTGGGCATTTGAACCTTGATATCCAGGGTTCCAGTCCAACACTAAAACTACTATACCAGTTTGACCTTGGTATTTCTTTTAATAACGTATTCCCTGGTGGCGCAGTGGGTTAAACCACTGAACTGCTGAACTTGCTGACCGAAAGGTCAGTGGTTCAAATCCAGAGAACGGGATGAGCTCCCACTGTTAGCCCCAGTTTCTGCCAACTTAACAGTTCAAAAACATGCAAATGTGAGTAGATCAATAGGTACCACTTCTGTGGGAAGGTAACGGCACTCCATGCAGTCATGCCGGCCACATAACCTCGGAGGCATCTACCGACAATGGCAGCTCTTCGGCTTAGAAATGGAGATGAGCACCACCACCCCTCCCCAGAGTTGGGCACAACTAGACTTCATGTCAAGGGGAAACCTTTACCTTAATGTATTCCTGCACGCTGAAAACAATAAGGCCACAATTTCACCACTGCTCCCATCAGTGTGGACATATGTTAATGTTTTTTAATGTTGCTGGAGCAGTATGCAGGTTGTATTAATAAGATGGAAATATCATTTAGATACGGCATTGAGAAGATGATTTTTTTTTACGTTTTTAAATGGTTTCCCCACAAACATGGGGCTGTCTTTCAAACTCTTGTCGTGATTCCTGTACAATTTTGGTTCATTTCCTTCTCAAGTGAAATATTTGTGGGTACTCACAACCCTTTCTTTCTCTCCTCATTATGGTATAAACCTAAACGTTGAAAGAGGAGGAAAATTATTTCCCATTGTACAGGCTTTTACCTTCTACTAATGCCCTATATGTAAGCCTGATATTTTTCTTTCTCTGAGAATTTGGAAATGGCAGTAATAACCCTGATAACATGCAAAAATAAAAAACCAGAATGTACATCCAAGATAACAACAGATTAATATTTAACTATGCGTGAATTGTTACCAACACCTGTTCAGAAGCACAGAAGCTCTGTGTGTGTTTATCATTTTGGACAAAAACAGCAGTCTTGTTTTTCACAGAAACCTCATCAACAGAGGTGTTGTTGTAAAGAAAGATGCATTGAGAGTTCTTATATGTACAATATGAGTTTCGTAAGTCACTGAAAGTACAAAGATAAATCCAGCTTCATCATTGCTACCCTATCCAATACCTAGGAAGACAAACTTGTTTTAACAATTGCATGTAGATTTATTAAGTCTCTTGTTGTAGTAAGAACAAAAAGTTATGAGAGATACATATGGTGGATATGCACACCAGGGGCCCATATCCAGACATGCCTTGCTAGGAAATATATACTACACATCACTGCAGAGCTGTACATCTCCCTTTCACAGTTTGTGTTTATGGCAGCAACAATAATGGAACAGCGCTGCACCTGTTTTATCTGAATCCCTCTTCTTTTTATTGCTAACCTACTTTTCTAGTTGATGGTTAATTTCTGTTGGATTTTATTATTTTATTATTTTCTTGGCTATTGTAAGTTACCTGAGCACCAATAAAACAGTAGAAATATACAATATACTTAGTTTTAATAAGTAAATAAAATATGTCATCTAATGTGTTGGTTATTCAGTTTTTAAAATCAAAAACTTTATTTCTTCTGTGATTTGTTAACCTCAGCTTTGTTTTCTTTATTTACATACTATTAAAACATTATCTGTTTTATACTTACTTTGGTGGTTCGGGGGGTGGGGGGGGGGTCTATCACTTGCTGGGTTGGCAGCATTGGGAATAGATTTGACCACTACTGCATAGCAGCCTCCATTTTATTTTCCCAGTTTGTTATCGCATGTCATTATCCACTCAGAAATTCCTAGAATCCAAATATTCTGGGAATTAAAATGGTGACTTCCAGATAGCAATTGAAAGAACCCAAGTTGATATAAATGAGGTACAAAAGAGGGGAGAGTGTCATGTCCATTTGTTTTGGAGTAAATGCTGAAAATTGGTTCCTTTCAATTTTGTGTTTCAGTTGTTATGAAATGTCTAAATGCTCCAAGTTAAGGGCAAGGTGACTACTGAGGCACCTAAATTAGGTTGAACATTTGGGAAGGCTGTGTTCAAAAGATAAAACCATCCTAATATGTTTATTTTAATGTCATTGTTTAACCAAAATTTGGTTTTTTTAAACTGTATTTTATTGTTACTTGCCTTGGGCCCCATAGTTAGGTGAAGAAGCGAGCATCAGGAACATTGCTGCTTATTTATGTAATACTAAACGAGAGCTTGGGAAATATTTTCAACAAAATTTCACAGAATCCCTTAGCCAACATGGCCAATAATTATTTTAGTAGATTTATTCACCACCACCCCCCCAAAAAAAACCCCTCAATTTTGAAGTTTTGTGCAAATGTGTCATTTTTTGTGTGCAGACTAGTTCCTTAAGTACATGAAGGACTTGTTTACATGAGCCCAATATCCCACAGAGGTCATGAAGTCACACTTCCAGACATAGCTAAAACATGCAGAGAAACAGGTTAAAATAACTGACTTCCATGTGGGTTCTTGTGCCCACCCCCAACCCAAACCCTGGGCTTTCCTGGGGGGGTGGCTAGCTATACGCTGTCCCGAGTCAAATTGGGATGGTTCCCCATTTGGGCCCCAAAACTTACCGGAGAG